TTTGCAGCAAAAGCGAGTAAGATTCTCACAAAATTCATCTTAGCAACGGTGCGAATGTCTGATGGTAATCCACCCCATAAGTCTAAGTAAAGCCCTTAGCAACCAGTCTTGTTTTATACCATTCTATGGGCCCATCTGCTTTGTGTTTTACTGTGTACACCCACTTACACCCAATTGGATTTTTGCCTCTAGGCAACTTCACTAACTCCCAAGTGCCACTCTTGCTGAGAGCTCTCATTTCTTCCATCATGGCATGCTTCCATTCAAGAATAGAGAGAGCATCCTGAAAATTGGTAGGTAGACTCACAGAAGACACTTTAGACAAAAAAACTTTGTATGACGAAGACAGATTAGAATGAGAGACATGATTAGTAACAGGATGCTGAGTACATGACCTAACTCCCTTCCTATTAGCAATGAGAACACCAAGATCTGAAAAATCAGGAATAGAAGCACTAGAATTAGAATTACTTGGACTCTCAGGAGAAGGGGTTGACTCTGGACACTCATCCAGAGAAGAAGTTGGTAGTAAAGGAAGGAAAGTAGTCTCTTGCATCCAGGTGACTTGTTGTCTGTCCTTGTCCCGGATATAAACTTTGCCTGCTTCCTTTTCCTTAACAACTGCTGGCTTATCATCCTCTATCTGTTCAACCACAGGCGGAAGTTGAATAGAAATCTCTTCACACCAAGGCTCCCCCTGAAGGGATGGCTGGGATACCGGGGAGGTCGGAAAGTAAGACCGAGACTCAAAGAAAGTGACATCTATGGAAACAAACCATTTGCGAGTGGGAGGATGATAACACTTATAATCCTTTTTGGTGGTAGAATAACACAGAAAAACACACTTAGGGGATCTAGAATCTAATTTACCATGAGTGGGTGAATGATTATGGACAAAGCAAACATAACAAAAAGTCTTAGGAAATAGAGAACCCGGAAGAGGTAGACCTGAACAAAATTTGAAGAGGTGTTTGTTTTTGCAGGACTTCGGTAGGAAGACAATTAATCAAATAAGCGGCAGTGAGAACCGCTTCCCCCCAATAGGAACGAGGAACACGCATCTCAAATGATAGACAACGGGCGACATTAAGGAGACGGCAATTTTTACGTTCGACAATACCATTTTGCTGAGGGGTATTAGTGCAGGAAATCTGGTGAATAATGCCATGAGTGGCGAAGTAAGTGGTAAGGCTTGAGTCAATATATTCCCCCCCATTATCAGAACGTAGAATTTGTACAACTGCCCTAAACCGAGTACAAATCGTTTTATGGAAGTTTTGAAACAGAGAAAACACCTCACTTTTATCTTTCATCAAATAGACTCAAGTAGCCTTGGAACAATCATGTATGAAGGTAATAAACCATTTGTGATCGGTTAAAGACACAAAACGAGAGGGACCCCATACATCAGAATGAATCAAAGAAAAGGGAACTAAACTTTTATTAAGTGAAGGAGCAAAAGAGGCCTTGTGTTGTTTTTCAAGTTGACAAGACTCATACTGAAAACCTGACACATTATTTTTCTCAAAAACAAAAGGAAATAAATGCTTAAGTAATAAAAAAGAGGGGTGTCCTAAGCGACGGTGCCACAGTCAAATGTCTTCCTTGGTGGATGGTAACTGAGTAGATGAATTAGCTAGCTTGTCTATCTAATCCAGAATGTAGAGCCCATGTTCCTCTCTACCACTACCAATCTTCTTCCCCATGATAAGGTCCTGAAAAAGACAATGATCAGGAAAAAATGTCACGCTACAATTTAAGTCATAGGTAATACGACTGAAAGATAATAGATTAACACTAAAATTGGGAACATGTAGGACAGAAGACAAAGGAAGGGAAAAGGTGACATGAATTAAACCTTTCCCTGACACAGACGAAATGGTAACCATCAGCAATACGCACTTTTTCCTGACCTGAGGTGGGGACATACTTTGAAAATAAATTAGAGGAGCCAGATATATGGTCGGAAGCACCAAAATCAATAATCCATGGTACAGATGTATGAGATAGCAATGCACATGGAGATGAAGCCAAGTTACTTGAATCGGCAAATGAAGAAGAGGGCACTCCTGTAGTAGAAGGAGAGGCTCGACAGTCTAGCAAGTGGCGAAGAGCAATCTCAAAATCCGAGGCAGATAACCCCGAAACATCAGCAGCCGGTGAGACAACTGGAGATGAAGGTGGTGGCTCAACCGTGTCGGAAAGATGCATCCGTGCATTGGCCCCTCGGCCTCTCGACTGACCAGACCAGACCCCCACGAGTACCAGGACGGTCTCCTCGGCCACTAGAAGGGGTGCCATGCAGCTTCCAACAAGTTTCTCTGGTGTGGCGAGGTTTACAGTAGTAATCACAATAAAGTTGATCCTTCTCATAGGAGGGATGAGAACCACGAGGCACAGCATCTCAAGGAGGGGCAGAAACCAAGGCAGAGCGATCACTAGTGACAAGAGGAAGCATAGCAGAGTGGAACTTTCCTCATTTTGCACAAAAGCAAAGGCTTCCTGGAGAGAAAGAAGCACATCCATGTAAGGACTCGGCTCCGAACAAGATCATACTCTACATTCAGGCCTTCCAAGAACTTGAAGACCCATTCTTGTACTACAAATGTCCGGTAACCAGCAGAATCGGCGGGACATATGTTTGTAATCCTGAAAGTGATCAAGACGCTTCCATCCATTGCTAAGGAAGGTAAAATGCTGAAGGATAGTCATCTCACCTTGCACCGACTTCTCAATGGAGCGACGTAACTCGAAAGCCTGTGAGAAGTTCCCTTTCCTGGAATAAGTAGTAGTTATGGCCTCCCAAATATCCTGGGTAGTGTCTATAGACAAGTAGCCCTCTCCAATCTTTGAAACTATAGAATGGATCAACCAACCTATAATTAGAGAATTGGTGATCTCTCACTGGTCATAATGAGGATCAGTAAAACTGGGTGCCTGAACCCTCCTATCCGCATATCCCATCTTCCCTCTACTATTTAGAAAATAGTTAGACTCAGCGACCACGTGAGGAAATTCTGACCATTAAATAGAGAGGAGGTGATTTTAAGGCCAAGGTTGAGGTTATCAGTCATAGGAGAAGGGATAACCGAACTCACGCCCTGAGATGGCTGAGAGGTAGTAGACTCACTAGTCAAATTTGCCATGGAGACTCTACTCACTAGTCCTCAATCACAAAGCCAATCACAAACCCGAAAGATGAGAGTGGAGGAACCAGGACAAGAAGAACTAGAAAAGCATAAAGAATTTAAGAAGCTAGTTTTTTTTTTTTCTTAACATCATCAGATTTTTTTATTTTTTCTCTGGTTGTGTTTTAAAAGAGAAATAAGAGAAGTAAAGGGTGTGGACTTTCCAACCAAGACAAACGAAGACGAAGGCAAACGAAGGCAGGAGGCAAACCGAGACTCAGAGATGCCGACCAGAGTCACGCACACCAGAGACGGTGGCGACAAGGGCCACCCGACAGGCCCCTAGACAGTCAGAGGGACTGCCGACAGGCCCTTAGGGACTCAGAGAAGCTGCCGACTAAGCCTCATAGGCTATCGGGGAGTCCAGTTGAACTATCATAGGCCTGGGCAAGGCTGATGGAGGTGTGCTTTGGGCTGTCGGAGGATCGACGGTGGCTACCTGAGGGTCTACAATGGCTGTCGGGTCTCCTAGACTCAAGACAGGACTGTCGATAGGGGTAAGAAGGGATGGGCTAGGGTTGTAGCTCTGATACCATGAAAGTTTAGAGAAGACAAAATGTTAGGGAATGAGTTAGACTCTATTTCCTTTTACATTGATAATACTGAGTATAACATAAGGAAACACAATCACACAATCACGTATTTCCTATTCTAACTTAATTCCTATTCTAACATAATTCCTATTCTAACACACTTTACCCTCCTATGGTTCAAATATATCCAGAAAGCCCCCATGTGGTTTTAGATTAAAATGCCACTATTAGTTTTTCCATCTAAACTAATGGAAGGTATATCACATGCATAATTTTTCCGAGTGGGTTTAGTTTTTTGAAAAATAAAGTGAAATTGACACAACAAAAAGACAATTACCCCCATCTTCTCCAAACCTAAAATTAGATTAAGATGTTAATTAAAATAAAATAAAATATATAATTAAGGATTGATCTAAAATATAATTATATTAAAATTAGATTAAGATATTAGGAATTACAATAAATAATTAAGGATTTAGGATTAATTGTGATCTAAATATAATTAAATTAAAATTAGATTAAGATGTTAGGATTAAGGATTTATGATTAATTGTCATTTAATTGAATTAACGTTAGGAATTATAAATTATGTGTATGAGATCTTTGACAACATGAAAAAACATTGTTCAACTCTTTGGCATGAAGAGAGAGAAAGAAAATAACAAAAAAATGCATAGGGGTTGAGGGTATTATAGTGATTTCACATCAATAGTTAACTGTTATACCTTGGTCAAAAATTACATAGGGGCTTTCTGGCTATATTTGAACATAGGGGGTAAAGTGCTCTGGCCACAAACCACGAGGGGGTAAAATGAATTTTGCCCTTGTCTTTATATAGTTGGCAGTGTTGTTATAATATTTTTTATTTATAATATTAGTAAAATTTTCACTGATTTATTTTTTACAAATTTATATGGACATAACAGCACATACCAAATTTGAATGTTTGTCTTAACATACGATGTATGTTAGGCCCGCTGTGTGTAATCGATGTTACTCACAAGCCAAAAAAGAGTAATGGACGTTACTAGGTTCGGATAATACACTTGGATACCCAACTTATTTTCTAAAATGTTTTCCTTTTGTCTTTTTTATTTTTTTTATGGTGTTTTATGTGAGCATCGTTACCAGCCAACTTACTAACACCTTACTTGGGATCTGGTGCTTCTTGATGTGTTGTATGTTCATTGGTGTGTAGGGCCATTCTATTATTTGTTATTATTACCTCTTAATAATTCTCTTTCTATTTGTTAATTTATCTTTCTTTAATTTTCCTAAGGAGAATGATTCAACGTTGATGGGAAGAGTAAACAAAAGTGATCCACGTGAGATGCAGACTTTTTATCATCACTACTACAAAAAATATATTCAAGCTTTGCATAATGCTACTGATAAAGTTGATCGGTGAGTTTTCTAGGAGAGATGATAGAGTTTCAGGCAACATGCTTGGCACTTGTTATTCTAGTACTGTGTTTTGTTTTGACTGTCAATTTTTTTTTTTTTTTTTTTTCTGCATATTAGTGCACAGCTTACCAAAGCGTACCAAACTGCTAATGTTCTCTTCGAGGTTCTGAAGGCTGTCAATCAGACCCAGGCTGTGGAAGTTGATCGTGAGGTGAAACTAAATGCCATCCTGTCTTGTATTTTTTATTTTTTTCTTTTAAACAAATTGAAATGATTGAAGTTTTTCTATTTGGAATCGTGTTAGGTCTAATTCCTATTACTTTGGCTGGATAATTCGTAACTTCATACTTACAATACAGATGTGATGATCAGTTGGACCTTTAATTGTTTAACATCTTTTTTCTGATTAGCCTCCTCCTTTCTTTAATCCTCAGAACGTCAAATTCTCTTAAGTTTTCTTTTAAGAGGGAACTATTTCTTCTGTGGGTTTCTTGCAAATGCAAAGCTTAAATGACCATCAAACTTAGAAGATTGATTGCATATGGGGTGTTTCCCACATATCACTTAGCATAATGATTTGCCTTGCACAGATATTGGAAGCTCATGATAAAGTTGCAGAAAAGACTGAGATCTATCTCCCTTATAATATTCTTCCTCTTGATCCCGATAGTGCAAATCAGGCAATTATGAGATATCAAGAGGTTTGTTTCCAACTCTCAATAGCTTTCAACTCCGGAGAATTTCTCACCTTTGCTTTAAGCTTTGACTACTTATGGTTAAAAATACTGCAACCAACTAGACCTAGCCTAGTTGGCCACCATGACTCTCCTAAGGGCTTAGTCCCAAGGGCGAGGTCTGTGAGAATAATATTCACATAATATATACTATACTAATATTATTCTCACTAAGGTCGTGGGTTCAACTCTTCCTAAGGGGGAGTTGAAGTAAGAGGCAAGCACTTGGTGCTTTGCAAGAGTGGGGAGGCTGACTCCCATAGGTGTTGATCTATCTAACTACTAACAACTGACTTTTGCCGATTAAAAAAATATGGTTAAAAATACTGCTGTTTGTTATTTTAATTTGCAGATTCAAGCTGCTCTTTTAGCATTTCGTAACACCAGGGGCCTTCCATGGCCAAGGGACTACAAGAAGAAAAAAGATGATGATATCCTAGACTGGCTTCAAGTAGTATTTGGTTTTCAGGTGACATATTATATATATATTTTTTTGTCTATGCTTGTATTTCTTGTATGTTGGTGATTGAAAATGCTACTTCAATATAATGGAGAGCAAACTGTCTAATTTTTCTTCAGGTCCATAAATATTGATTTTTTGAAAAATTAATTTGCAGAAGGATAATGTGGCAAATCAAAGGGAGCATATCATTCTATTACTTGCAAATGTGCACATTCGGCAATTTCTCAAACCTGATCAACAACCTAAGGTTGTCCTCTTTCTTTTCTTTTACTTTCTTTCCTTTTTTTGGTGATGAGTAACTACCTAAGGGTGTCTTCTGAAACAATTCTTTCCTTGGGCGATACAAATGCAATGCCCCCATAATTGCTTTCACTACTATCAGCTCCTCTGCATCTAGCGGCAACATCTATATTCCTTCAAAACACCCATGGCATGGATACCTCTATAATTGCTTTTGCTAAGGCTCCTGACACCAATGCCATGATCATGTTAAAATGAGATCACAATTTTCATGGACCACTGCCACAATCACATTGTCAACTCTGCTTCATACATTGAAAATTATTATGATCTTCATGGACCTTACAGTTGTTGTTATCATTATCTTATCCATAAAACTGTACCACCACTACTTTTATCACTCATTTTGAAGTGAAATCATTGCATGTAATTTTTACAGAACATTATATTTCTCATTGTTTTCCTTGGATAGCTTGACATGCAATGTTGGATCCATTTCCTAACTTGAACTTTTGGTACTGGTGGTGATCTAACATGATATTAGAGCTTGGTTCTAGAGGGCTTGGGTTTAAGTCTCTTCATTTCCGGTTTGGTATGCTTGTTTATTTGAGCTCCATTTAGTTGCTCCACATGCAAGACAAGGTGGCAAATGAGGGAGAGTATTGGATAGCTTGATATACAATATTGGGTCCATTTCTTAAAAGCTTAAGCTTTTAGGATTAGTGGTGATCCAAGTAACAGTCTGCATTAGTTGATATCATCTCTCCAATAAGTTGGTTTGCAGTTTTCAGAGCATGCAAGGTTTATGTTTATGTTGTGGAGAAATGTTGGGGTGGCACTTATTAAAGTTGGTTTTTCATAATGAGATAATAATTGTTGTCATTTTGAGTTAATATTATATGAACAAGTTTGAGAGTGAAAAGAGAGGAGAAAACAAGAGAGAGAGAATGATTTTTAGGAAAGAGGCATCACACCCAATATTAGGTTTTTCCTCTATAATCATACGTATTTATACTAATCAAATGAGTGAATAAGTACAAAATTACCCTTCATCTAACTTAACATTTTGGTTGTCTGATCTTCTTTATTGCCTGAATGGAAGACTTTTGGCAACATCTGGTTTTGAAAAGTTTTTTCCGTACACTTTTGTGATGTCCTATTACACTTCTTGGGGATTACTACTTTTACAAATGCAAAAAACTTGTTTTCCTCCCATTCCATTTGGTTAATTTTTTGGCTCAAAAAATTTCAAAATGATAAGAAGGTTTCTTACTGTTTAGCTTTGAATTGTACCATGGTGAGCATTCAAGAAATATTAATGAAATAGAAGCCTTACATAATCATCGACATATCATGCATATGTATTTGTATGCATGTTTGTTTGCATACATGTATAGAGCATGCAAATTGCACCTTATTAATGGAAGCAGAATGTACAGAGAAACCCGATAATAGAAATTATAGATTTTAGGAAGCAACAATTAGGCTTAGGAGTGGGGATCATTTTAGAGAAGACCAGTTTGAAATGCACAAACATTACATTGTGAACCTGTAATAGTATGCCAAGATCATTAACAATTTTAAGAACTCTTAAATAGCCCGCTATAGTCTAATTCTAATTTCCTGATTATGGATCTTTTGGGAGCCTGATGGACCTCTTAGGAACCTACAATTTTGTTAAGAAACTTCATATTTATAGAAAATAAGCTTTATTAACTATGGTCTGTTGTCCATTTTGCTGCTATAATTCCTTTACATTTCTGATGAGTATTCTTCTCTTCATCCTTTTTTGCTTCCCTCCATTGCAGTCTTGCCTTGTTTTAAGCACCAGATCTGGCTAAGGGCTTTTTTTCCTTTTGTCCATCTGAAACAGTTTGATTGTTAATTAATGAAGTTCTATATCAGAAATGGTTAAAATTTAATCGATTATTAAAATTTTAATAGCTGAAGTATGTTAGATGATGCCTTTATTTTATTTAGTCAGTATGCTTAATACAAGTTTTCTCTCTCTTTGGTTGCTTAGTTGGATGAACGTGCATTGGATGAAGTGATGAAGAAACTATTCAAGAACTACAAAAAATGGTGCAAGTACTTAGATCGCAAAAGTAGTCTTTGGTGAGGCTTCTCATGATAAGAGTCTTGTTCAATCAATAATTTCAGTATTGCTATCAGAAAAGTCAAAATTGGGTGTCAAACACATTCTTGAGTTATAGTTAGTTTTGGTGTGTAATATAGAAGTGAGATGTTCTATATGTAAAGCCTACAAAGTCAGGAAAAGTTACCATATTTTACATAAAAAGTTTCTTTGGCATCTCACATGGATGTGTCTAACATGCTAAAAAGGATATGACTAGCATCAATCTAGTTAAGTGACTTTATATAATAGTCACATGTCTGGGAGTGTTTAAAAAATAGGTTTCAAGCATAGTATCTTTTATGTAAATTGTATCATTAAATTCTTGTGTTGTCAAATTGCAGGTTACCCACCATAAAGCAGGAAGAGCAACAGCGTAAATTATTATACATGAGCCTATATCTTCTTATATGGGGTGAAGCTGCAAACCTAAGATTCATGCCAGAATGCCTTTGCTATATTTATCATCATGTATGCTTTGAAACGTTTCTTTCTTCATATAATGGCATATGGTTAGATATGAATAGCTTGATTGTGATACGTAGTTTCCACATATAGAACACATTTCAATATATAAATTTGTTTCATTTCCCTTTGTCAACTTATGATTGATATCATCTAAGTCAGCTTTTGATGTAAGTGTATTTGAAAGCTGATACAAATTGTCATTTTGTGTTTTTTAAGTTCTATTTGACAATTGTGTCTTGCCATCACTAGGTGATTATTTAACCTTGCTCTTAAAAATATCATGGACCTATATGAAATGTTTATTCTACTTTTTTGGGCCCTCTTGCTTCTAGTCGAACATCATAAATTTCCACAAAATCTCTTTTGATCAAACATATTGTGTGTGATTTAGCGAGACAATTTCATCTCTAATTGAATAATACCCATAATGATTTTGATGATGTTTTTGGTTCTCATGTGTTGTTACTTACTGTAGATGGCGTTTGAATTGTATGGTATGCTAGCTGGGAATGTCAGTCCTGTGACAGGAGAGAATGTGAAGCCAGCCTATGGAGGTGAGGAAGAGGCTTTCTTGAGGAAAGTTGTTACTCCTATTTACGAAGTGATTGCAAAGGTACTCCATGCATTAGTTTTTGAATTTCTTACAAGGTTGGGTTGTATATTCTTTTCAACTTCTGTAACATCATTTTCAACTCCTTTTATTATTATTATTATTTATTTATTTATTTTATCATTTGAAAAAATGGAAAGCCTTCTTATTGGATGATCATGATACTTCCCAAAAATCAAAATTCTTGATCAACGGAGGAACTATATTGCCATTTTTGTTCAATAAGATACCAAAGTGGATGATTGACTCATAATTCTGTATTTACTAAATTTTTAGGTCAGTTGACTGTTTCCACTTAGGCTGGCCAATGAGAGTTGATGCAGACTTTTTTTGTCTGCCCATTGAAAAGCTTCGTGTTGAAAAAAATGGGGTAAGCTTTAATTTTAAAACTTCTAATTATTACTTTGTTCTTTCTTTCCCTTGTTTGGATATTAGCCATTGAGTTGCATATTTCTTTTACACCAATGCATCATTCACTTAAAGAAGCATAGTTCTATTTTCTTGGCAAGATTGAAATTGATTGCATCTTGTGCACTATCTGCCTTCCCATATTATGTTATGTGCGGTAGTTATCTATGCTTGATTCATTGTTGTTGACAAAAAGACGTGTAACGCCCCAAATTTCTAGCCCAAATGACAATGCAACAATCATGGCTCTCTTAAAAGAAAACCAAATATAACTTCCCATACTTGGATTACATAATAATAATAGTTCCTCATGCGATATTACGTTGATTCAACAAGAAGTAAATAACCAAATAAGCACCCCCAAGGGTTTACAATCTTCCAAGGCTTAAGCCCGGTACACAAAATGGTTATTCAAACCCACACGTACATAGCCCTTGGCTTACAAATATGATCACAACGAATGAGAATTTTAGTGCTCTCAACACATACATTTCCACGCTCTCAATTTGGCAGATTCACCATGTCTTTTCCTGCACAAAAATCCGATAGGGTGAGCATAAAGCTCAGTAGGAAATCCTTAACAAAGTATATACATTTGATGCAAGTCTCAAGAAATGAATGCACATGTCATGCCATGCCTTTTTGAAAATAAAACACATCTTCATCTTTTGAAAACCATCATGCTCAATGATGTTATGCAACTTCAACTGTTCAAAATTTATCAATTTAATTAAAGGGGGGCGGTAAATACAACTCTGGTAATCCCTAGGTCGGTGTCTGCAAGTAGACTATACGAGTACTACCAATTGTCATTTTTACCGGTATTAACCGGAAGGCTCGACACCTATCCGCGCGACTTTCTGGTCTTTCACCAAGGACACTCAGGCCAACTTAAACCATTTCATCTACACCACCTATCAAGACTTATCACTGTATTTACCCCAAAACCATTTCATGAAAACCCATTTCCCAACATTCTTTTCTCAATGCAAATTTCCAAAACTTAACGTAGTCCAATGAATTGAAATGCCAATGTATGCTTAATAATGCAATGCAACATTACTTCCATATTCAATTGTTCCACACAATATACCATTGTGATCAAAATTCTCAATCCTTTTTTTGACACAATTCCACAAGATGAATATATATATACTTTAATATCCAATTCATTCAAGAGAATAATGTAATTCCCACATTTCGAGCAATCTCAACAATTTAGTCAATTCAAGACTAAATCAACATTTTGACAACAATTTCTAAAATAAACAACATTTCTCATTTTTTTCACAAAATTCCTCATTTATATATAAATAAACAATTTTCAAAACATCTATTTATTTTAGTACACAAAATAAATATGACAATATCTTCTAAGGATTTTCAACATCTTTTAAAGAAAAGACCAAATTTCTAGGTTTTCTCACCAAAATCATTCATCTCCAAGATATTTAGAATAATATCTCCAAAATCATCTTTCTTCAATCAATATGGTTCAAAATCTTCAATTTCTATTTTAAAAGAAAAAAAAAATTAAACCCTCTTTCAAAATCACTCATCTTCTTGAAATCAACAATCAATTTCTCAAAGCTAATCAAATGATGATTTCGAAAATCGTCTAGATCTTGCAAAAACATATATATAACTCTAAGAAAATCCCTACCTCAAGTTATGAAGAAGAAATGAGATGAAACTCCCAAAATCAACTGTGTCAAAACTCGATCTTCACCGCACACAACGAAGCCCTCGAGATGATAACCAACTTTGGTGAAGAACTTAGGTCTAAATCCCAATGGATTTGGAGAAATCAAAGAGAGAAGATGACTTCTAGAGAGAGAAGCTCCCGATCTGGAATTCTGGAGAGTTTTAGTGAGAGAGGATACTGAAAAAAGTGATATGAAATATCAGATTCATGAACTGATATAACATGGTCCGCTCGAGTGTGGAATGCCCCGCTCGAGCATCAAATACACTAACCCAATACTTTTGCAGACAGGTCAAACTTCTGAAACCAAACATTCTCCGCTCGAGTGCATAAACGGCCGCTCGAGCGGACAAGCAATTTCGAATGCATTTTGCATTTTTTGTTTTGGGGGCGCTGCCCCTCAACCCCGCTAGGGCGCTGCCCTAGGACCCACCAAGGGGTGTTGCCCCTTGGACCCCCGCGAGCTGACCGGGCAGCTCGACCTCTAACCGGCCCAGTCGAAGTGGCAAATCATGAAAGAAGGATCGAAACCGGCATCGCTACCTGATGAAAGGCAGGATGGTTTATTTTTCTTATGGATTGGGAAAAGTTATATTGCCAGAGAAGTATTATAGGCTTAATCAAGGTTTTAAAAACCAGATCTGTGAACGAATCGAAAAAGGAGTTGGATGGATGGGTCACTAATTCAACGATTGGGTCAAACTAGATCGAATCATGATGTCATAATTAAGTAATAAATGTATTAAAAATTATACTTAAATAAAAAATAGGTTTTAAATATACATTATATATTTATGTAAATATGTTTACGAATTATATATGTTTAAATAAAAATGTTAATTATATTAGTATATGAGAGAAAATGATTAGAATACAATAAATAAAATATAACTACTAATTTATCAATAAGGAGTATTGCTTGCTGGTAAACAATAATAGTCTCATGCTTGAGGTACTGAGTTCAATCCTTGTGAACTACATTTTTCAAAGCCTAACCATGCATGTCAAGCCCGGCCAGTTTGCTCCAACCAGTGCCAGTTCTTCCAGTTGACCCGTTCAACCACAGGATTTACTGGTTCAGTGAAACGAGGGTAGAATGGGTTTTCGTTCAAAAAAACTAGAACGGGTTTGAGGTTGTATCCGGACCAAAACCTAGACTGGTCAGCCGGTCTAACCGTCCAGTTTTCAAAACAGTGGGCCGTCCGGTTTTCAAAACAATGGGCTTAATTACATCAAAACCCGTCAACTATTGGTGAATATCATTGTACCACACTCATCTATGACCTTGTATGTTTTGACCCAAATACCCCATCTTCTGAAAGGGTGAAGGTGATGATTTTTATATTTAAGGGGGTCAAATGTATGGGAGGGTGAAGGTGATGATTTTTATATTTAAGGGGGTCAAATGTATGGGTTAACAGATGAGGATAGATGAGGGTAAGGTGATATTCTCTAATAATTCGAATTTCTTGTGTGTTATTGTGCTTGGTGTTTGTTTTCCTAAGAGAAGCATTGAATTTATTTGGTGTTGCCTCTCATGCATTTTGCTATATTTTTTTATGACTACTAAATAACTCTATTGGTAATTTGTTTTATTGGTGAGAGACTTCATAATGACAGCTCATGCATGCTAGTAGGGATCTAAGGAATGGTCTAACTTCTGTTCATGTTCAGTTTTAAATATTGCTAGTATCTTTCTATTTCGGCAATCACACTGACTGTAAGTAAATCAAATATATTTGTGACCACAGATCTCTTATTAAAAATAAAAATAAAAATTTGTGATAAAATTATCACCTATAGGCTAAAGTTGTTTCTTTGTGCATTCTTGGAGTTGCAATCTTACTGAGTTTCATCTTTCTTCTGTTATTTTTTCTATAGCCTTGACTAATTCAAAAAAAAAAAAAAAAAAACTATTCTTCATGTCACTTGTAGATTTCTGAAGTTAAGTTCACCTTGAAGGGATTGTCTGACGAAACTCTAATGAATGTGGGATTATTGTCAAATTCAGGATAACAAGCCAGCTGGTAGAGATCAGTGGATAGGGAAAGTCAATTTTGTGGAGATACGATCATATTGGCATATGTTTAGAAGCTTTGATAGAATGTGGAGTTTTTTTATATTGTGCTTGCAGGTAATTGTTTCTTCAATATTTATCCTTGTCCATATCTATGCATATATATTTGAATGTCATACGCAGTGTACAAAGCTCCCTCTTACAATAGGGTCTCTATGTATGAATATATACATATGCTTTTGATTTGACATATTGTTGTAATTGATTTGTATTAAGGCTATGATAATTGTTGCTTGGAATGATACGGGGAAACCAAGATCAATATTCAGTTCTGATGTTTTCAAAGTACTGAGTGTGTTTATCACCGCTGCAATACTAAAGCTTGGGCAAGGTAGGTTGTAATATTTTCATTTGACTGCCTTGTCATGAGATGTATGTAAATCTGATTTTACAAGCTCTTGGAATAATTTGTTACCATTCTTACAGCCATGCATTTTATATTTTCCAAATTGTATGCTTGAAGAGTGATGTAGTCTCCACTGTATTTGCAATTACAAAGTATGTTTCAACGGGATTCACTAGGCTTATAGTCACATCACATGTAATATTGGGTATATATGTTGGATAGCTTGATATACATTGTTGGGCGCATTTCCTAATAACTTAAGCTTTTGGGACAATTGGTGGTCTAACATGGAATTAGAGATTAGGTTGGGGGAGGTCTTGGGTTCAAGTCTCTATGTTTGCATTTATTTCCCATTTGCATTCTGATTCTCTTTATGAATGTCTCTTTGCATCTCCACATGGAAGACGAGATTATATTTGAGGAAGGGTGTTAGATAGCTTCATATACAAAGTTGGGCCCATTTCTTGCTAGCTTAAACTTTTAGGACAATTAGTAACATTATCAAGATACTTTGAATTGGTCACATATGGAGTTAATGTAAGGTATATTCATGGAGTGACCAATATTTGTTATGTGTATTGGTACAAGCATGGAGAGAAACAACTAGACCATTAGACCCTAGATGGGTCCACCTTCCAAAATTATATCCATATTTGGGGGATGAAAAAAGAAAAATCCCATATGTGCCCCTTACTGCGTAGTATTATCGTACAACTTCTAATGAAGACATAGTTTATGATGTAGAACAAGTGGCTGCGGATTTCTTGAGGCAATTAGACAAACACAAGTCAAGGAAATCAAATTATTGACTAAGGGGGAAATGATAATTTTGGACAATTTTTACTTGGCTACCAAGAATATTTATTAAAGAATATAATTTCCTTGGTGACCAAGGATTATCCTAATTAGTTACTTTCTTGTAATGCTTGGTCTCCAAGTAATCTTGGTGACCAAGACTACTATTATATAATTTTATTATTTTATATTTTCCTTGGCCTCCAAGTATGCTTGGTTTCCAAACTTTATCTAGTATAAATAGTCATGTAAGCCTAAGGGCAAAGGCATTATCTATTAATATAATTTTCAAGTTACTCTATTTTCCTTGTGGATTCAAGAGCTTTCGTCTACTAGAACGATATCTAGTTTCGAGCGTATTCCGCTGTGTCAAGTGGTATTAGAGCAAGGATTTGTCTAGCTTAATGGCATAAGACAGAGATGTACACACAAACCTACTAATGGTGATCATGGGATCGGTGCTTTGTGAGAAGCATTTGAGAGCCAACAATGGCAGTTGGACAGGATTCGTGACATGATTGTTGGGTTGACTCTTAACGCCAACAACAGACCACCAGTAGTTGATCGGGCACATGTTGAGGGAGTTGCCCAAGGCCAACCAATTAACCGGGACAGAGTTGGCGCCAGAGGAATTGCCCGAGGCCATTTTGTCCAAAACAACTTGAGACGTCCAATCAGACAATGAAGGGTCCAAGCCAGAGGTTGAGGAGTACGGAGGTCGTCAACCATGGAGATAGCAGCAGTGGATCTATGACTACTGGTTGAATATTGATATTCCCTAATTCAGTGGAAATCTACATATTGAAGATTTCTTGGATTGGATCTCTCAAGCTGAGCGGTTCTTTGAGATGATGGAGGTTTCAGAATGAAAGATGGTGAAATTAGTTGCATCCAAATTGAAGGGAGGCGCTACAGTTTGGTGGGACCAATTATAAAGAACTAGACAACGACAAGGAAAGGACCCAATTCAGACTTGGCAGCGGATGAATTAGCTTCTCATGGACAGATTTCTACCACCAAACTAAGAGCAATACTTGTTCCAGCTTTATTAAAATTGCTCACAGGGGTCCAAATATGTGTTTGGCTACACTGTGTAGTTTTCTCGACTTTCAAATGCAACAACCTAAATGAGACGAAAAGACGAGTAGCCAGACTCAATAGGTTGAAGCAAACCATTCAAGAGAAGATTGGTTTGGCAATTTTGTGGACTGTAGAGGAAGCACACAACATGGTTCTCAAAGCTGAGTTGTTGGAGCGCAAGCCAACATATTTGGGGTATCGATAGACTACTATGGATTCTTCTTTTCCTACCCTTGAAAGGGGAAAGTGGGTCCAAGCGTTGACTGCTACAAACCAACCCATGGGTGCTAATGGCAGAGGCAACAACCAGGCGACAAGTTCAATGGCTAAAGAAGCTCCTAAAAATCCCAACCCTTATGCTAGGCCAACAAAGGACAAGTGCTATAGGTGTGGTAAGCCTAGCCAATGTTCCAATGTTTGTCCAGAGCGAAGGCCAATCAACCTAGTGGAAGAAGATGATGACTTTGGAGTTGATGAGGGCGTAGATGATGATGATCATGATCCGTATGACGGGCTGAGCTTGCCATAGATGATGGAGAACGAGTCAACTGTGTGGTCCAACGAGTTTTGTTCACACCAAAGACTGAGGATTTTAATTAGCGCTGTAATATTTTTCGATCATGTTGTTCAGTCAACTAGAAAGCATGTGATTTGATCGTTGATAGTGAAAGCTGTGAGAACTTTGTTCCGAAGAGATTGGTGGAGCACTTGAAACTATAGACTGAGCCACATCCCAATCCTTACAACATTGGTTGGATCAAGAAAGGCCCGACAGCAAAGGTAACTGAAATTTATTGAGTTCTAATTTCCATTGGCAAGCATTATAATGATGTTTGTGATGTCATTGATATGGATGCTACCCATATACTTTTGGGTAGACTTTGGCAATTTGATGTGGATGTTAGATTTAAGGGTTGGGACAATACCTATTTGTTTATGTAGGGGACTCATAAGATTGCTATGGCTCATTCACCACAACAATAGTGTCCAAACCACCTAAAGTAAAGGGGTAGTCTTTTCTCACCATAGATAGTTCAGAGGCTGAGTTTGTGATAGATTTTAAAGCTTTAGAAGAGATTTATGTGATGGTTGTCAAAGATCTAGTGAAGGAGGGAAAGAAGAAAGCAGTGGTACCGATTCCAGAGAAGAAACAACCATTGCTTGAGGAATTTAAAGAGATTGCTGCTGATGAACTATCCAATGAGCTACCACCAATAAGGGATATCTAGCATCACATTGATTTTGTGCTGGGAGCTAGTTTACCAAACTTACCGCACTACAGGATGAATCCAAAGGAGAACGAGATTTTGAGGGAGAAAGTTGAAGAGTTGCTGCAAAAGGGGCATATTTGTGAAAGTTTGAGTCCATGTGCCATTCCCGCTCTTTTAACACCAAAGGAAGTTGGAAGTTGGCGTATGTGTGTTGACAGGCGAGTTATCAACAAAATCACCATCAAATACAAATTTCCTATTCCATGTTTGGATGATATGCTTGATATACTTGAAAGTTCAAAGTGGTTCTCAAAGATTGACTTACGAAGTAGGTATCACCAAATTCGAATTTGGTCGGGAGATGAATGGAAGACAACATTCAAAACCAAGGATGGCCTGTACGAGTGGTTGGTTATGCCATTTGGACTTTCCAATGCTCATAGTACTTTCATGCACGTTATGAATCAGGTATTGAAGCCATTTACTGGAAAATTTGTAGTTGTTTATTTTGATGATATCTTGATTTATAGCAAATCTGAAAGGGACCATATAGAGCATTTGTAGCAAGTGCTAACAATTTTGCAGGAGAATAAGTAGTTTATTAACCTCAAGAACTGTAGTTTCATGACAAGTAGTCTATTGTTCTCGGGGTATGTGATTAATTCAGAAGGTATTCATTTGGATGGAGAAAAATTTCATGCTATCTGAGAGTGGCCAATGCCAACAACTGTCAGTGATGTTCAAAGCTTTCATGGGTTAGCTACATTCTACCGTCGATTCGTCCGCAATTTTCGTTCAATCATGGCGCCAATCACAGAGTGCATGAAGAAGGGTAAGTTCTTTTGGGGAGACGATGCTGAGAACAGCTTTGCTTTGATTAAAGAGAAGCTTTTCACCATGTCAGTATTAGCTCTACCTAGCTTCGAAAAGATTTTTGAGGTGGAGTGCGATGCTAGCGGTATGGGAATTGGAGCAGTTGTTTCACAAGAGAAGAGACCAGTGGCTTTCTTTAGTGAAAAGCTAAGTGAAGCCCGACAAAAGTGGAGTACCTATGACCAAGAGTTTTGTGCGGTGGTACAAGCTCTCAAGCATTGGGAACATTACCTAGCACAACGAGAGTTGCTCCTATACATGGATCATCTAGCATTGCAGTTCATCAACAGTCAGAAGCACCTAAGCAACATGCATGTCAAATGGTCTACATTTCTTCAAAAGTTTCCTTACACCATTCGACATAAGTTAGGGACTTTGAATCGGGTTGCAAATGCGTTAAGCCGTCGTGCAAATTTGCTAGTTACATTGACCCATGAGATTGTGGCATTTGAGCTTGAAGGGGCTTTACCAAGAAGATGAAGATTTTATAGAGAGATGGGGTAAATGTAAAGATAATAGACCTGTCACTGATTTTCATGTCACTGAGGGATATTTATTAAAGGGAAATTGTCTTTGCATTCCTAAGACGTCTCTTTGGAAAGCTAATCTGAGACCTACATGGAGGATGGAGCGGACATTTGGGTAGAGACAAGACCATAGCAAGCTTGGAGGAACGTTAGTTGTGGCCTCAATTGAAGCGAGATGTTGGGAATTTTGTAAGGAAGTGCTATACGTGTCAGGTATCCAAAGGTCAGTCTCAAAATATTGGTCTTTATATGCCTTTACCTGTGCCTAACAATATCTGGGAAGACTTGTCTATGGATTTTGTGTTGGGACTCTGTCGTACCCAACGAGGAGTAGATTCTGTATTTATGGTTGTCGACAGGTTTTCTAAGATGGCTCATTTCATTCCTTGCCGAAAGACTTCTGACACATCTCGCGTGGCTTGATTGTTCTTTCTGGAGGTTGTTCGCTTGCATGGAGTACATCAATCTATTACTTCTGATCGTGATGTGAAGTTCCTTAGCCATTTTTGGGTGACTCTGTGGAAGATGTTTGATACTTCATTAAATCGAAGCTTTACCACACATCCACAGACATGTTCAGCCCGAGGTAACTAACAGAATTTTGGAAATTTTGGGTCGAAGCATATGTGGAGACAAGCTGAAGCAATGGGATCATGCCTTGCCTAAAGTCGAATTTGCTTACAGCAATACAGTTCACAATGCCACTAGAAAGTTACCATTCTTTGTGGTATATGTGACACCTTCGAGGCATGCAGTTGATTTGGTTCGTCTACCAAGAAGTCCGGAAGTAAGTGTTGCAGCGGAGGCCATGGCTAAACAAGCTCAAGCAGTACAAGATAAGGTGAAACATAAACTAGAAGAAACCAATGCAAGGTGCAAAGAAGCAGCTGACAAGATTCAGTGATGGTGTTCTTGCGCAAAGATAGGTTTCCAATAGGTACATACAACAAGCTAAAGCTAAGGAAGTATGGTCTATACAAGATTTTGAAGAAGATCAATGACAATGCTTATGTGGTTGATTTTCCTGAAGATTAGAAGATCTCCAAGACTTTCAATGTTGCTGATCTTTTTGAGTATCATGCAGAGGAGTCTTTCTATTCGGATTTGAACTCAAGGGTGAGTTCTCTCCAAGTAGAGGGGAATGATGTAGAACAAGTGGCTGCGGATTTCTTGAGGCAATTGGACAAACACAAGTCAAGGAAATCAAATTATTGACTAAGGGGGAAATGATAATTTTGACAATTTTTACTTGGCCACCAAGAATTTTTATTAAAGAATATAATTTCCTTGGTGACCAAGGATTATCGTAACTAGTTACTTTCTTGTAATACTTGGTCTCCAAATATTCTTGGTGACCAAGACAAGTATTATATTAGTTTATTATTTTATATTTTCCTTGGTCTCCAAGTATGCTTGGTTTCCAAGACTTTATCTAGTATAAACAGTCATGTAAGCCTAAAGGCAAAGGCATTCTCTATTAATATAATTTTCAAATTACTCTATTTTCCTTGTGGATTCAAGAGTCTTTGTCTACTAGAACGATATCCAGTTTTATGTGTATTCCGCTGTTGTCAGTTTATGTATCAATGCGTCCTCTTATCTTATCTAATAATGGTTGGAGATATATGTAAGCGGAGTTAGGTTTAGGCATGTGGTGGTTTTATGAGAACAAATCCGTATTCTTTTTGCAATGTGGTTGAATTGAAGTGTTATTTCTTCTAAAGTTGTACCGATGATTTTATGAGATGTCTACTTCATGACTGTTTCCATATGATTATTATACTTCTTAATTCTGCAGCTGTCCTTGATGTTAGCCTTAGTTGGAAAGCAAGGAGGTGCATGTCATTCCATGTCAAGCTACGATACATATTAAAGGTTGTGTCTGCTTCTGCATGGGTGATAATTCTGCCAATCACATATGCTTATACTTGGAAGGATCCTCCTGCATTTGCTCAAACCGTTAAAAGTTGGTTTGGCAATAATTCCAAGTCGCCTTCATTGTTTATTGTGGCTGTTGTTATCTACTTGTCACCAAATATGCTCGCTGCAATATTGTTTCTTTTCCCCTTCATCCGTCGATTGCTTGAGAGATCAAACTATAGAGTTGTGATGTTGATGATGTGGTGGTCACAGGTATGTGCATCTCCTTACCTTTCACTTTTTGGTGGTTTATGTGATTGACAGAGAGTTTACTGTTAATTGTAATGTTACCTAAATGAAATACAATTTCATATGATTGACCAAGAGTTTGTATGATATCTTACAGCCTTGGCTTTATGTTGGAAAGGGGATGCACGAGAGTACATTTTCTCTTTTCAAGTAAGAATCCAACGGGTGAATGTCATGTTTGATGTACTAGAATCATATTGTTGATTTCTCTTAATACTCGATTTAAACTTCCAGGTACACAATGTTTTGGGTTCTTCTTATAATGACAAAGTTAGCATTCAGTTACTACATAGAGGTGTTTCTCTTGTCCATTCTCCATATTCATTTCAACTTGATATACTAACATATTATATACGAATCAGTACTACTTTAAGTTTGCTGTTGTGACACTAGTTTTGAAAAAGGGCAGTGAAGAGCGGTGTCCCCATGGAAATTAGAAATAATCATTTTGTAGTGCATGATGCAAAATGGTTGGCTTGGATGCGTCACTTGCGGACATTGCAAGATGGAAGAAGAGTTAAAACTAGAGCATAAGAGTTGAGAGAGAGAGAGAGAGAAGAGATTTGCTGGAAGAAGAGGCACAAAACCTAATTAGGCTTCTTATCTCACTAAACACGTGTATTTATAATAATAAGAGAATAAGTACAATGACACTAATACCCTCAAGCACATAACTTAACACTTTCCCTCAAGTTGGTGAATAGATATCTCTTATGCCCAACTTGCATAAAATATGATGAAACACTTCACTCCCTAACCTTTTGGTAAACACATCAGCTAACTGATCTGTGCTTCCTAACCCTTTGATAAACACATCACCTAACTGATCTTTAGATGTGACAAAAGACAAACAAATGATGCCACTATTCACTTTCTCCTTGATAAAATGTTGATAAATCTCGATGTGGTTAGTCCTATCATGCTAAACCGGCTTAATAGCGGCCTTATTATCACAATACAGTCACATGGAACCACCAACAATCCTAGGTCAGCCAGTAAAACTTTAAGCCACATCAACTCACAAATACCATGCGCCATGGCTTGATACTCCGCTTTTGCACTCGATTTGGCAACAACTGATTGCTTCTTATTTCGCTAAGTCACCAAATTCCCTTCTACAAATGTACAATAGCACCAGCCCAATCTGCATCTGTGAAGGCCCCTAACCTTAAATGACCATGATTGGAGAACAAGATGCCTTTTCCAGGAGCTGATTTAAGATACCTTAAGATTCGATGAACTGCATCCAAATGCCTCATCCGAGGATCATGCATGTATTGGCTAACAAAACTTAATATGCAATATCTGGCCTGGTATGAGAGAAATATATCAGTCTTCCCACAAGCCTTTGATACCTTCCCTTGTCCACATGATCTCCGTCACCATTGAGCATATGATTAGCCCTTATAAAAGAATCAGTTTGTCTACATCCCAACATGCCTACTTCCTCGAGTAAATTCAAGATATACTTCCTTTGAGAAATGAAGATGCCCTTCTCTGATCTAGCAATCTCAATTCCAAGAAAGTACCATAAGGGACCGAGATCTTTGATTTCAAATTCCCTAGAAAGTTAAGCTTTGACTTTGGACATTTCCTCTTCATCATTGCCTATTACCACAATGTTATCCACATAGACGATAAGAATAATGATCTTATCTCCACACCGTTTGATGAACGAAGTATGATCTGCATGGCTTGGCTTATATCCAAATCTGAGCATTGCCTTAAGGAACTTATCGAACCAAGCCCTAGGAGATTGTTTCAACCCATACAAGGACTTCTTTAACCTGCAAACCTTCCCCTCAGTGGCTAGAGAAGAAAAACTTGAAGGAACATCCATATATACTTCTTCCTCTAGATCCCTATGAAGAAAAGCATTCTTCACATCCAATTGTTGTAATGTCTACCCCAGATTTGTTGCATAAGAAAGAAGGACACGAATGGAATTCATATTGGCCACTGGAGCAAAGTTATCCTAATAGTCAGTACCACAGGTCTGAGTAAACCCTTTAGCAACAAGCCTCGCCTTATATCTCCCAATGGTCCCATCAGCTTTCTGCTTAACTGTGAACACCCATTTGCACCTGACAGGCCTTTTCCCGATTGGTAGAGAAACTAACTCCCAAGGGCCATTCTTACTCAGTGCTCTCATCTCCTCTGCCATAGTTTCTTTCCACTTAGGATCACTAAGAGCTTCCTTTCAACCCTGCGGAATAGATATAGAAGACAAATACAAAACAAAGGCACGATACGATGAAGATAATGAATCATATGGCACAAAATAAGATATAGGATGTTGAGTGCAAGTTCTAACTCCTTTCATAAGAGCTATAGGAAGATCTGAGTTATCAACTTTATGAACATCACTAGTAGGGATAGGATAATTAGTAATTGCTGACTCATTACCTAAAATCGGAGATGGAGATGATTGGCATGGCATCACATCAGTCATCGACTCCCTCTGTCGTTGAGAGTAGGTCTTGAGATCTGATCTATCCAACCGACTAGACTCCCCATGAATACAAGGAATTAGCTACCCCCTCTCTACATGGCTCACTTTTCCCCTTACAACTAGTGGAAGTGGAAGGAAACAACATCGAGTCCGGGAAACCAATCTCTTCTGGAGTAGAGACCTCCACCTGAAGAGAGAATCTCGGAAAGAATGACTTTGACTCAAAGAAAGTAACATCGATAGAAGCATGAACCTTGCGAGAATAAGGATCATAACACCGATAGCCTTTTTGAGTAGATGAATAACCGAGAAAAATGCACCTCAAGGCCTTGGGATCAAGTTTGTTGCGAGTGAGACGAGAGGAATGGACAAAGTAAACACAACTAAACACTTTAGGTGGAAGAGAAACAAGGTGAATAGAAGTACGGAGAAGAAGGTCAAGAGGCCGTTGAAACTGGAGGACACTTGAAGGCATGCAGCTAATAAGATATGTAGCAGTAAGGACCACATCACCCCAGTATCGTTTAGGAACATGCATTGTGAACATGAGAGCACGAGCAACCTCAAGAAGATGACGGTTCTTGCGTTCGGAAACACCATTCTGTTCAGAAGTACCAACACAACTAGTTTGATAAAGTGTACCATGGGCTTCAAGATATGCCCGAAACGCACCATCAATATATTCAGTGCCATTATCACTCTGAAGGACTTTAATAGGGGTAGCAAATTGAGTAAGCACCATCTTATGAAATGTCTGAAACACAAGAAAAAAACTTTATTTTTGGTTTGGAGTAAGTAAACTCAAGTCATAAGAGAATAACAATTAATGAAAGTGACAAACCACTGATAACCAGAGACGGACATAACACGAGAGGGACCCCAAACATCATAATGAATAACTATAAAAGGAAAAAGACCTCTTTTACTAATTAGAGGATAACAAGAACGTTTATGCTTAGGAAACTCACAAGCATCACAATGAAAATTATTCCTATGATGATCCTCTACTAAAGTAGGAAAAAGTTTGTCTAAAATAGAAATAGAGGGATGTCCTAAATGCCTATGCCACTAATGTAACAGAGGAAGGGCGGAAGAGCCAATCGCTTAAAGAGCGCTGTGAGAAGATCCAAGGGATGAAAGTCCAGCATCCAGAAAGTATAGGCCCCCATGTGCTTTACCACTGCCAATCATTCTCCCCGTACCCTGTTCCTGAAAAACACAATGAGAAGGATAGAAGGTTATGGAACAATTTAACGAATTGGTAAGACGGCTAACAGAGAGTAAATTAGTAGAGAACTAGGGAACATGAAGAATAGAAGAAATAGAAATAGACGAAGAGCAATGAACATAGCCTGTCCCAGACACAGAAGATAAAGACCCATCAACAACTCTTACTTTATCCTTGCCAAAACAAGGAGAGTAAGAGTGGAAAATATGAGACAAACCTGTCATGTGGTCAGTATTGCTGGAGTCAATGATTCAAGGATATGAAGAAGAAGAAAAGGACTCAAGGCACTCGTAGGAATACCTGTGGAAGCAAAGTTGGAAGTAGAGGGAGGATCAAATGTAGGGACAAAGGGAGAATCAAGCCGAGCCATTAGACACCGGAGAGTGTGCAACCCATCATGGGAAAGTGTGGCAGAATCACCCGGGGTGCTGGCAGAAGACTCAGGGAGATTGGCATGAGAACTAATAGTGCCACCACGTCCACTAGTACCAGTATGGGCACCACCCCGACCTTGAGAAGGACGACCATGTAACTTCCAACAATGTTCCCTATCATGTCGATCTTTTCCATAATAATCACAAGTAATCTAACCATGTTCAAGACTAGCACCTTTGCCCCCAGATTTGGAGATATGGCCATCTTTCGAAGCAGAAGAAATAGCTAGATCGGAGCACTCTTGGAGAGGCTGATGAGCCATAGCACTACACCGACTATTTTCTAGCTAAACATAAGCATATGCCTCACGCACAGTGGGAAAAGGATCTCGGCCACAAATTAGAACATGAATCTGATCATACTCAATGTCAAGACAGTAAAAAAAATCATAAACCCTCTCCTTTGATACCATCTACTGAAAGGTAGTTGCATCTTGAGAACAAACAGACTCGAAGTTCTGTTAATTGTTGATCTCTTGCCACAAGCTACTTAACTTGGCATAGTACTCGGCAAGGGAGCTATCCTTCTGATAAAACCCCCGTATTTTCTTCTGCAACTCATAGGCCTAGGCATCATTACCACGCTGTGAATACATCTGAGCAGTAACAATCCATATCTCATGAGCGCTATACATCAAAACAAAGGAGCGGTTAATCCTGGGATGAATAGAGTTAATGAGCCAAGACATGACAAGGGCATTCTCCTTAAGCCATTTCTCTCGGGCTGGTACATCCTCCTTGGGAGCCTTGGTAATTCCCTCGATGTATCCAGACATGCCACGAGCAGTAATGGCCAATTGAAAAGAATGCGACCAAACCAAGTAATTAGTGCCATTCAACTTGACTGAAGTAAGCTGAAGAGAGGAATTATCACTGAGAGAGACGTTGGAACTGGACTCTTTCACCTCGCTGCTTACAGGAGTCTTATCATCATCAGCCATAACCAAAAACCAGTGCTTTCACACCCAAAAAAGAATACAACCACAACAATCGAAGAGAATCGTGAAGAGTAGATTATTTCCCAACAACCTAGCCTAACAACAGCAAAAAAGGGGCCAAAAAACACTCACGTTGTAGCAGAAAGCCAAAAACACAGAGATGAAGACCGAAAAAACCATCAACTAAAGCACTGGAAAGCCAAAAAAAAACAATTAAAAATCATCTTGAACCATCAACCAATGCCAAAGAAGGCCAGAAAACATCCAGTCGGCTCCTAGAGAAGTGAACCCAAGGGTTGAATCAAACCATAAACTACCAGAATGAAGAAATAAAAAAATAGGCCTATTTTTCCAGAAAATAAAGAAAAATTCGGAAAAATAGGCAAACAGAAGAAAAAAAAAAAAAATTGAACTTTTTTATGGCAATCCCCTTCCCTAGTCGATCATAGTGGCACAGTTTTTTTTTTTTTTTTTTTTTTTTTTTACATTATTGACAAGAACAAATAAATGAAAAAAAAAAACGATATTTAGAAATAAATAAATAGAAGAACAGAAAAAAGATCTTAGCTCTAATACCAAGTTAAAACTGAAGCATAAGAGTTGAGAGAGAGAGAGAGAGAGAGAGAGATAGAGAGAAAAGATTTGCTGGAAGAAGAGGCACAAAACCTAATTAGGTTTCTTACCTCACTAAACACATCTATTTATAATAATAAGAGAATAAGTACAATGACACTAATGTTGGAATGTGTCCCACATCACTTGGAGTTTCCCCATTTGTGCTAGTTATAAGGCTCCAATTTCTCTCTCCTTAATAGCTGGGTTTTAAGGAGATGTGTGGGCTGGGCTTTTCAATTACTAATACCCTCAAACACATAACTTAACAAGAAGAAATAATGGGACTCGTTGGGAAACTAACATCAAAAGCAACTTTGATCCCCAAATAAAAAAAATGCAATAAATAAAGTCAGTTGGGCTTATGCAATGCCGGTGTCATAGAAGGAAATGTTATTTATCAATAAATAAATAAAATTTAGGAGAGTGAGAATTTTTTTACAACGTTCATAATTGTTGAGGTTGGTTGAAGTGATGCTCTTCTGTTTTAGTGATGAGATGATTTTGAAGATAATACTATAGAACTTAAGAAAAGTTATTCTTTCATCAGTCAGATGATTTAATACTTGATGGATAATTATTGTGACTTTCCTAGTGAGAGAACCACAACTTCCTTTCAACTCTCCCAAAACAACACAATATCATGGGATGAATAAGGAGTGTGGGTTTTGGAGATTGGCAAATGGATTTTCAGAAGTTGAATATAGATGTTGTGCAAGAGGTTTTTGGGCTCTGTCATGCCTAATTTGCATATTATCTTTGACAACCAATGAGTCCTTTATAGGAATAAATAAACAACCACATTTGGTGTATGGCTCCGTCCAGCATTCTCTAATATTTGATGGTCCATTTCATGTGTTTCTAATTGGCATCAATTCAGAACTGCAAAGCTACTTTTGCAACAGGACTATGTTTTAAGATGATTTTGGGAAACACTTATTTATTTGTTTAGTTTCCTTCAATGCGTTTTCTGTTTCATCTATTTCGTTTTTGAACGTAGATTTAGCAATACTTTGGTAACCATAAACCAATTTCACCTTTTTTGTAAGGTTTTGTCAGTTGTTAATGTTTCTCTTTTGTTTGTCTGCTCTATATGTAAATAATTATCCACATGTATGCTTACTGTTCAGTTGAAGTTAGCAAAAAGGGATATGTTGTGTTAATTTGATTCTTGAATTTCAGTAAAATCTATGTTGTGATTTTCAAAAAGGAGGTTTGCCAATCTTTATTAGGATGTAGTCCAATTCTTTGTAACTTGTTTTAAATATTTCTCCATTGCAGATAAGGCCTCTTGTGAATCCAACAAAAGCTATCATGAGAATTCACATAACAAATTATCAGTGGCATGAATTCTTTCCTCGTGGTAACAAACATGAATAGATGGTGTAAACCTCTAATATTTTCTTATTGCATGAATTGGTCTCTTACACTGTCTTCTGCTTTGCAGCAAGGAATAACATTGGTGCTGTGATTGCACTCTGGGCTCCAATTATTCTTGTATGGATTGAACCCCTTTCAATACTTTCTTCTTTTTTTTGGGCTCCTATTTGGCCTGCTTTACATCTATGTTATTAATGCCTCTATTTGTTTAGGTCTATTTTATGGACGTCCAGATCTGGTATTCTATATTCTCCACATTGTTTGGAGGTATCTATGGTGCATTCCGTCGTCTTGGAGAGGTTAATGGACTTCTTTTTTCTTTTTTCGTTCTATGACTTGCATGCATATTTTGTGCCACTGCTTCTAACACTTTATTTTGCCAATAATTAGAACAAAAAACCTCGTCTTTGGGCTTCATTGTCATGAAGCAGTTGCCAACCACAGTAATAATATAATTAGTACTTACAACTTTGTGCTCAATTATAAGGAAGTTTCTGCCTTCTAACCCAATTAATAGTAACCCAGGCTCATTGATCGGTTATTTCCGTTGATCGGAGGAAATCCGCCTTCTTGCACAGACTTCCTCAGTACATACAAGCTGAATGTTTCAATAGATTAGTGTGTTTATTTGCTGCTCTCCATTATCCTTTCTTTCTTGTTATTCTCCTTCTATTCTTTTCAAATGTTACAGATTAATCTTCTTTGAGACAACTCTTTATTTTTGTTTTTATTTTAAAATTGCTTTTCTTTTGGCTCAAGAACTTGAATGAGGAAAAAATAGGATAGTAATAGATGAGAATAGCGTTGCTTTCTTGCTCAAAATCTGACCTCAACTCACTCCCTGTTGTGTCTCTATTCTGTTGTCCTACATTTTTTCCCTTCATGAAAAAAAGAAGCTAATAGGAAAAAACAATTACCCTCTCATTGCTTCATGTATCTAATGTTGGAAGCTTTTGTCACCCCATTTTGGTAGGTAATATTCTTCAACTGTATAGGTGCATGTGGCCAAATTTTTACCCTTTACACTTGTGATGCTAATAACCTGATAAGCTTTAAAGGTTGTAGACTCACTGTAATTTGTCTGCCTTCCCCCTCTTTGAACTCTTAGAGGTGTAAGATTTCTGAATGTCTTTATGTATCTTCAATTGTTGCTAATACAAAGATTACAACCAATATATATAGCAATCCTAACCCTAATCTAAACTAGGAAATACAATCAATCTAATAATTCCATAAGTAACGTAATATTCTCACACCTCCGCTCAAACTTAAGGTGTTTTAACAGAAAACACGGAGAGTTTGCCAAGAAGAAACTGAAAGCGAGTAATGGTGTGAGTCTTCATAAAGAAATCGGCAAGTTGCAAGGCCGAAGAGACGAAAAGAAGCTAGATGGAGCTAGACTGCAGATGCTGACGGACAAAATGACAATCAATTTCAATGTGCTTCGTCCGCTCATGAAAGACTGTGTTATGTACAATCTGAATAGCATTGCTGTTGTCATAGTAAAGGGAGGTCGGAGAAGACTTGAGGGACACCCAAATCAGTCAAGAGACAACGAAGCCAAACAATCTCAGCAGTGGCATGAGTCATAGCACGGTACTCAGCCTCGGCAGTGGAATGCACAACAACAGTCTGTTTCTTGCTCTTTCAAGAAATCAAAGAATCACCAAGAAACATGTAGAAGCCAGAAGTGGACTTGCGATCAGTGACATCACCAGCCTCAATCAGAATCACCATAAGCCACCAAGTCCAAAGAGGAAGTAGAAGACAACAGTAAACTCTAAAAGATAGTACCCCGGAGATAGCAAAGAATCTGAACCAAAGCAGCCCAATGGGTAGAACAAGGAGCAGAAACGAACTGACTAATCACATGAACAACATACGGAAGATCAGGGCGAGTAACTGTTATATAGACTAAGCAACTCACGAGCTCTCGATATAAAGTAAGATCATCTAGAAGAAACCATCAGCAGTGGTGAGCTTCACATTAAGCTCGATGGGGGTATTAGAAATCTTAGTGTCAGTAAAACCAGCACGATGAATAACCTCATTGGCATACTTGGCCTGAGATAAAAAGTAGCTATTGGGAGAAGAAGCTACCTTAATTCCAAGAAAATACCGCAAGGGACCCAGATCTTTCATTTCAACGGTGCAGAAAAGATGTTGCTTGACCTCAGAGATAGCAGAAGAGTTAGAGCCAGTGATGATCATATCATCCACATACAGTAATAAGGCAACAAATCTAGCAGAGGTGTGAAGAAGAAATAAACCAGAGTCATGAGCACAAGGATGAAACCCAAGCGCAGTAACAGCAATCTGAAAGCGATCATACCAAGCACGAGGAGATTGCTTCAGACCATACAGAGCACGCCAAAGGCGACAAAGCTGTCCAGAGGAATGGTGAATGCCAAGGGGAAGACGCATGTAAATCTCTTCTGTGAGATGGCCATTAAGAAAAGCGTTCTTAACATTCATCTGATAAAAAGGCCAAGAACGAAAATAGCAACAGTGATCAAAGTACGGACAATAGTCATCTCAGCAACAAGAGCAAAAGTCTCCTTAGCAACAGGAGCAAAAGTCTCCTTATAATCTGTAAAAATAAATTGATGTATATTATTGATTGATTGATGTTGTTGTACATATTACAATTACAAGGATTCCTATTATATAGGAGTGTGTTTGGGAGTAGGTGGAGAGTAGGTGAAGTGGAGGTGGTAGTGGTGTAGTGGGTTAGGTTTAGTGGAGTAGGTGAGGTGGTAGTGGTGGTAGGTTTATGGTAAATTCTAACATAATCAATACCATACTCCTGTGAGAAACCTTTGGCAACCAGACAAGCTTTGTAGCGCTCAAGAGAACCATCGGAATGAGTCTTGACTTTGTAAACCTATTTGCAACCAATCAGATTCTTAACACCAGGCAAATGAACTAACTCCCAAGTACTAATTTTCTGTAAAGCAAACTACTCATCCTCTATAGCTTAAACCCAATAAAGATCCTGACAGGCCTCCTTGTGAGACTAAGGTTTTGAAAAAGAGTGAATAGTAGACAAAAAAGTACGATAAGAAGTAGAAAAACATATATTAGACCAACCCAACCTGTTTGGAGGATGACGCACTTGAGTAGGATATTAATGTGCAGCAGGATCAAAGTCGTCAGAAGCAGGAGGATCAGCAGCAAGGGTAGAGACAACCGGTAGAGGAGGAGCCTTGCGACGAGAATAAACTAACAACGAAGGAAAAGAAGAAACCGAAAGAGAAGCGGCTAAAGGTAAAGCAGGAGGAGAAGATGGAACAAGTTCAGAAGGAATTGTGGAGAAGCACTCATTAGACAGGACCTCAGAAGGAAACAGATCAATATGAACCAAATCTTCTTTGGAAACTGGGACGGTGAGAGAAGGAAGCTAAAAGTAAGGTATACGTTCGAGAAAGGCAACATGGCGGGAGACATAAAGGCAACGGGAAACAGGGTCATAATAGCGATAACCTTTCTGAGTGAGACTATAACCCAAAAGACACATAGGACAGACTGGACACTAAGTTTGGTTCTATCCTTACGGGGTAAAAAGACAAAACAAGCAGACCCAAACACATGAAGGAGGGAGTAATTAGAAAGTCGAGAAAACAGAGCCTCATAAAGAGACTGACCAGAAAGAAAGGGAGTAGGCATACGGTTGAGAAGAAAAGCAGTAGTAAGAACTGCCTCACCCCAAAATGGAGCCGGAACGAAGTATGTAACGCCCTAAATTTCTAGCTCAAATGATAATACAACAATCATGGCTCTTTCAAGAAAAACTGAATATAAATCTCCAAACTTACATTATATTATATAATAGTTCTTCATGCAACAATACATTAATCCAACAACGAGTAAATAAAAAAATAAATACCTCCAAGGGTTTACAAGTTTCCAAGGCTTCAGTCTGGTTACACAAATGAGAGTCTCGTACTCTCAACACACATTTCCTCGCCTTTAGTTAGGCGGCATCACATCTTTTCCTGTACAAAAATCCCGTAGGGTAAACATAAAGTCCAGTAGAAAATCCTTAACAAAGTATATACATTTTATACAAGTCTAAAGAGATGAAATGCACATGCCATGTTATGCCCTTTTTGAAGATAAATCACATTTTCATCTTTTGAAAACCATCATGCTCAATGATGTCATGCAATTTCAATTGTTCAAAACTTAACAATTTATTTCAAGGGCGGTAAATAAGACTCTGGTAATCCCTAGGGCGGTGTCTGCAAGTAAACTATACAAGTACTACCGAATTGTCATTTTTACCGGTATTAACCGGAAGGCTCAATATCTATCCGTGCGGGTTTTCGGTCTTTCATCCCGGACTCTCAGGCCAACTTATTCAATATCATCTACACCACCTATCAAGACTTACCAACGTATTTACCCTAAAACCATTTTATGAAAACCTGTTTCTCAACATTCTTTTCTCAATGCAAGTTTTTAAATCAACTTTCAAAGTTTAATGTAATCAAATGAATTGTTATGCTAACAACACAAGATAAATATAAATATTTTTATTTCAATTCATCATCCACGTAATAACACAATTCTCTCTTCTCAAGTATCCTCAACAATTAGTCATTTTAAGACTATTTTAACGTTTTGAACAATAATTTTCAAAATAAACAACAATTCTCAAAATAAACAACAATTCTCGTATTCCTTGAAATTCATCGTTGATATAAATATAAATAAGAAAATTTTCAAACATCCATTTATTTTGACACACAAAATAAATATAATATCATTCATGAATTTTCTGTCTCTTTTAATTTTTTTTTTCAAATTCTAGGTTTTCTCACCAAAATTATACAACTCAAATCTTTTAAAAGAAAATTTTCCAAAATCATGTTTTCTTCAATCAACGAAGATCAAAACCCATAAGATCAGTTTAAAAGAACAAGTGTCAAACTCACTTTCAAAATCGCTCAACTTCTTGAATCAACAATCAATTTTCAAAGCTATCGAAAGATGATTTCAAAAATCATATAGATCTTGCAAAAATATATATATAACTCTAAGAAAATCCCTACCTCAAGTTTTGAAGAAGAAATGAGATGAAACCCCCAAAATCAACAGTATCAAAACTTGATCTTCACCGCACACAACAAAGCCCTCAAGAAGTTAACCAACTTTGATGAAAAACTTATGGCAGAACTCAAATGGATATTGAGAAATCAAGGTTTTGATCCAATTTGGCGTAGGGGAATGTAGAGAGAAGGGAGAGGAAAGGGTTTTTCGAGAGAGAGAGATATATAAAAGTGATCTGAAATATCAGATTCCCGAACTGATATAATATGGTCCGCTTGAGCGTGGAAAGCCTCGCTTGAGCGTCAAATACATTTTCCCAGCACTTTTGCAGACAGGTCAAACTTCTGAAACCAAACATTCTCCGCTCGAGCGCATAAATGGCCGCTCGAGCGGACAAGCAACTTCTAATGCATTTTGCATTTTTGCTTCGGGGGCGCTACCCCTCAACCTCGCCGGGCACTGC